TCTTCTCGCCCCAGCTGCCTGTGGTGGATTCTCTAGTGGCTCGTAAAGGGTTGGGCTCAGAGCCTGGCTTATCCCGTAGACCCCCCCCCAGGCCGAATGGGTTGGACAAGGGCAGGTGTAGCCTTAGGGAACGGGAGGCTGCAGCCCCAAAAGGATTTGTTAAAATATATTGACGCTGGGGGAGTGGTACAAGGGGCATTTTGTTCCCGTTCCCGTCCCCTCGCCCCGGCTCACCCCGGTCTCGCCCGCAGGTGAAGATCTGGTTCCAGAACAAGCGCTCCAAGTACAAGAAGATCCTGAAGCAGGGCCCGAGCGCGCCCGACGGCGAGCAGCTCCACGCGGCGCCGTCCTCCCTGTCGCCCTGCTCGCCCGGCATCCCCCCGCTCTGGGACCTGCCCCTGCCGGCAAAGGGGCCTCCCCTGGCCCCCAGCGGCTACATCAGCAGCTTCGGGGCCCGGGATCCACCCCGTCCCCCGCGCCCCCATGATGTGACACTGCTGCCACTCCAGCACCCGCTGGCTCCGGGTGCTGGGAGCCCCCATGGAAGCGCCAGGAGGAGGAAGGAGACTGCTGTCCGTAGGGACCAGTTAAGCATCCTCCATCCTGCATCCCGGCGGGCAGGACTCGGAGCTCCCAGATGCCTCCATTGATGGACACAGGAGGGATCTCCATCAAGGGGCTCCATGCAGCTCTGGAAGGGACTAGAAAGCTCTGGGAGCCACTCGGAAAAGGGGTTGCCACCCGCCTGGCTTTATTTATAAGGACAGTTTTTATTGTATATGTTCCCTTTATAAAAACAACCATGCAATTGTAAAGCTCCAGCTGCCTTGTGCTCCCGTCGGACACATTGTGGGGACTTTTGGGCGAGAGCCCTGGGATGATGCATGGAAAATCTCCTGGGATAATAGTACCCGGGGGCCGGAGCACAGGAAAGGGGGCTGCCCCACACACACACATCTACACACTGCTCAAAAGCGGCCTCAATTATAGTAATGGTGGGAGAGGGGGCTTCTTGCCACCCTCCTGGGGGAGTTACGGGCAATTAGCGGCTGTTGAAGATGAGGCGCTAATAAAGCCCCGTGATGGAGGGCTGGGGTCGCCCGGCTCCTCCCGCCTGGCTCCTTCGGGAAGCCGGGGGCGCTTTGGGGGCTGGCACTGGGGATGTGAATCGCTTTTTGGACCCTGTCCCCGCTCACCCGCGTTGCCTCCACCCCTGGGAGGGAAAGGGGCTCCTCCAGGGGCTGTTTCCACCAACATCCTTCACTCTGGGCCGAGATGGGCCAAGTCTAGGGGCAGGGTGGGCTGTTGTGGAGCAGGGAAGGGGCTCGAGTTGCAGGGGCGGCTGTTAAGACTTTTCTGCCTTTCCTCCCAATGCGCTTGGCCTCCTCTCTGGAGTTTTCAGTAGGGCATCACTGAAGCAGATCTCCCCACTTTTCTCCCTTGACCAGAGCATCCCTAGCCCAGTGGCTGAGCAAAATCCTTGGAAAATGCCCTTCCTGGAGGACCGAGGCAAGGGGACTGGGTGCATCTCCGCAAGGGCTGCAAACCAGCCCCTTCGTCTTGGCAGGGGGGTTGCACAGGGGTGACTGCTCTGTGGCCCCTTCCCGCCCGGTGCCGCTCCGGCTCCCATGTGCCGTGTTAGCCAAGAGCCCGGGCGGTGACGGAGCCGGAGCGGTGGCGCTGGAGCCGGAGTGGTGCCGG